AATATTCTGTGTGCAACTGGAGGAAGGCAAAATGTGGAAGAAATCAGAAAGTTGGTGATTCCTTTTGTGCTTTACAAAACTGTGAAGGGTCATGATCTAGAACAGGTCTCCAAGCTCTGACGTGCTTTTGGGTCAGCCTCTGCTGGCCCTTACATTGCATGAGTCTGTAAACACGTGCTTGTAACTTTCTCCCCAAAACAGAATCACATTAGGAGGAAATTCTGATTTCATAGGAAAAAAAATAGGGCAAGGAGAATATACCATGTTTGCAAAGTTATGTGTTTCTTTTCTCTCTCAATGAGGGAAAAACAGTTTTATTCTCATTACCTGCTTACTGGTCCATTAGAGCTGACCAGAAAGGAACACTACTTTCTAACATGATCTGTCTAGTAAGGGAGAAAGCCACCAAAATAAATATATTTGTTGATAGTTAAAAATAAGTAAAAATGCTCCTAGTTCTGGTCTGACAACCATCAAAAGATTTGTTTTAACAATATCAATAAAGAAAAAATGTTATATAATTAACAGATACAGAGAAAGCAGTTGACAAAAGTCAATACTGGCTTATGATAAAAAAAAAAAAAAACCCTCTGAAAATCAGCAAACTATGACTGAAGGAAATTTCCTCATCCTAATGAAGGCAGCTTTGGAAGTCCGGAGATCACCTGTGTAGAGAAACATTCAACACATCTGCCCCAAGACAGAACAGGCAAGTAAATCTATCTCAGCACTATGCTTGACACTGTCTTGCAAGTTCACCCAGTACAGTAAGGCAAGAAAATAAATCCTAAAAACCTGAAAGGAAAGAGTGAAACTGTCCTTATTCACAGATAGCATGACTGTTCATGTAGAAAATCCCAAGGAAGCATCAAAACTGGAAATATGAGTTTTAGCAAGGTCTAGGGTATAAGGTCATGATAAACAAAAGTCAACTATATTCTTATATCCTATCAATAAAGCATTAGAAAATAAGAGTTAAAAACTGCATTTATGGGCTGGTGAGATAGCTCAGTGGTCTAAAGCACCTACTTAGAACAAGCTTAGTAAAGCACAGGGACCAAGGTTCAGTCCCCCAGCACCACATGCCAGCCAGCCCCGCCCCCTGGTGGGCTGAGCTGGCCACACACACACACAAATAAATAAAATTTTTTAAAAATGCATTTACAACAACATCAAACAATATTAGAAAAGCATTCTAAGACTGCATTTAACACAGGACTTGCAGACCTCCATACTGGAAGTGATGACCACCACCAAGGGATACTACAGAAGACGTGCATATCACACAGCCATGCTATGGACGCAGTGTGAGACTCCACAGCGTAGGCCTCTATTTCTTCCACATTTACCCAGGGATTTCATGCAATCCTAGCCATAGTCCTATATATTTGAAACACAGAATTTGAAAGACTGATTATAAAATTTATGTATGAATTCAAAGGACCTAGGATACCAAAATAAAGTTGAAAAAAGAACAAACTTCAAATACTTGTACCATCTAATTTTAAGACTTATTATAACGCTACAGGGATCACAGTAATCTGTATCCAGTATAAAGACAAAGTCGACCCATCAGACCCACACTTATTCAACTAAATTATTTTTGACAAAAAAAAAAAAAAGTAATTCAATGAGAAAGTGAAATCACCTTCAATAAAGTGTCAAAATGGTTATCTACACTAAAGGGGAGGAGAGGAAAGCAAGAAAGGGAAAAAGAAATTAAGTCCAGTATGAAACCACATAGAGACCAACATGAGACCAATGAAGAAACACAAAAGCTACAATTAAAGCTTTTAGAAAAAATACAGAAGAATATCCTCATTAATCAAACAAAGATTTCTTAGAAAAGACATAGAAAACAATAACCATAAGAGAAATAAATGACTGGTAAGTTAGATTTTATCTAAATTAAAAAAAACTGTTCACCAAAAAAGATACCATTAAAAATGAATGAACAGGGGCTGGTGAGATGGCTCAGTGGTCTAAAGCACCTACCTAGAACAAGCTAAGCAAAGCACAGGGACCGCGGTTCAATCCCCCAGCACCACATGCCAGCCAGCCCTGCCCCCCGGTGGGCTGAGCTGGCCACACACACACACACACACACACACACACAATAAATAAATAAATGTTAAAAAAAAAAATGAATGAACAAGGGGGCCGGGGAAGACGGCCTCAGTAGGATAAGCGCTTGACTGGCAAACGCAATGATCTGAGTTCAATCCCCGGTTCCGCCAAAAAAAAAAAAAAAAAAAAAAATGAATGAACAAGGCACAGATTGAGAGAAAATAGCCACAAAAAGTCCTCGATAAAGAACCTGAATCCTGAATAAATAAGGAATTCCTACAACTCAGTAAGGAAAAGATAAATGAGCCAACTTTAAAAAAAGTCAAAGCTTTTAGAATATTTTGCTGAGTTTACACACCTATAATATTCAAATAACGGAACTTAACAAAAAAAAGTATACAAATGAATGTTGATTTTGTATCTGTGTATTCAAAGTGGTTAGGATCGATATATAGTTACAGTCTCTTAATGAATAGAGGGATTTGTTCTAGTGGTGTTTGTAGATAGGCTATCATGTCCACATCTTGTACAGCAATTAACCACTGGGAGAATGTATGCAATGTGTGAATTATTGAAACTGTCCTACCAATTTGAAAATAAATACATAAATTTAATTAATGAATAGAGAATAGAATAATATTTAATGAATAGAGAATAGAATAATATTCAAATAACGGAGCTTAACAAAAAAAGGGGATACAGATGAATGTCCACTTTGTATCTGTATATTCAAAGTGGTTAGGATACATATATAGTTACATTCTCTTAATGAATAGAGTGATTTGTTCTAATGGTGTTTGTAGATAGGATATCATGTCCACATCTTGTACACCAATTAACCACTGGGAGGAATGTATGCAATGTGTTAATTATTGAAACTGTCCTACCAACTTGATTTGAAACTGTCTCATTGCTATTTGTTTATCAATAAAATTATGGAAAAAAAAAGAAAAAAACAAATGTGTGTATAACCATTCATATCAAGCTAATAAACTGGAGTCCAAGTGTCCACAAAAGAAGGGAGAAAGATGCTGTGGTATGGTCAAACAGTAGAACCCTACCCAGCCATCAACAGATTAAAAAAAAAAAGTCTGGATGTTAATTACTACTGTTGGGGGGTCTTGAGGCAGGGTCTTGCTATGCTATTCAAGTTGCCCTGCAACTCACAATACAGCACAGATCAGCCTTGAACTCATGGCACTTCTACTGCCTCAGCTTCCTGAGTGTTGAGGTTACTGGTGTGCAATACCACAGACATGCCTAGCTGGATGTTAATTACCAATGGTAGGTACAAAGCTTATTATTTTGTTTACTGTGTATATGCTTAAGGATTTCAAAAGTTCAACTTAAAAAAAAAGTAAATATAATCATATCTTGTAACAATTTCTCCTAGTTAACCTTTTCCTACCCTTTGCCTTAATTCTTAAAAGGCATTAAAAAGGTCAATGCCTTTTTAATCCCTAGATTCATAGGCTGCATGTATCTCTCCTTAAATACCATCTCTAACAACAACAAAACTGGTAAAAATTTTCTTCTTACATTACAAATGCCACTAGCAGCACTTCTGAGTCTCTGGACTGGAAGGCACCAGCAAACCCAAGTGGTGGCACACGAAGTCCTGTTTGTCACCACTGCCACTGTCTGTGACCAGGACACACCTTTCCAAGAGTGTCATTTTGCTGTTTGGGTACACTTTAGGAAACACTGCAGGCTTTGGTATGTTTCATTAACACATTATCCCAGCTTCCATTTAAAATAATGGAAAACAGAGGACCATGTATTAGCATGAAATCACAGATTATTACTGATATTAAGTGGGAGTTGTTCTGTGATTAAGAGAAAAAAGTGAGGCCGGCCACACAGCTCAGTGGATTAAAATGTTTGCTTAAGTAGACGTAGGGACCGCGCCAGCCCCACCCCTATGGCGTGCTGAGATGGTGAACGAGACTGGGTGTGGTGGTGCATACCTATAATCCCAGAGTTCGGGAGGCTGAAAACAGGAGGATCACTACGAGTTCAATCTGTGTAGTGAGACCCTATAGATCCTATGCTAAATACATAAAAAAAAATTTTTACAAAGTGATAAAAATCATATATTTATAAATTAGGTATTAAATATTTGTACATTAAAGAAATCCTCTCCTAGGAAATTTGTGGAATGGAAAGAAAAAAAATGACTACAGAGAAAACAACGGAGAGGAAGGGCAAAAAGCAGAACTACAAAGGCAAAGAAAGCAGACAGGCAAAGAGAGAAGGGACAGAGGGGAGAAGAAAGGAGAAACAGTAAAATAAGGCATGTGCGAGGAAGAACTCAGTCTGGTCATGCACAGCCACAGGTGACAGGGGAGGACAGCAGTCCCCATGTGCCCGGGAGAAACTGCTCACTGGGACACTCTGCTGGCATAATGTGGATGAGCATTTAGGGACTCAGGATCTTGAGCCTTTTCTGAAAAAATTACTAGGGCATAAAATCCATCCTGCAATAGGGGAAAGAAAATGAAGAATTTAAAAAACTCAGCTATGGGAAGTATTAAGGGTGAACAATGGGTCATTTCTTACAGAAGCAAAAGAGACCAGTTGTGTAAATTATAGAACAAAATATGCACATCACAAATCATGATGGTAATTCAGAAAGAAAGCTTGTTAAGTGGGAAAAGAAGGCTGATCAAGTACTGTATCAGAACAGAAGACCCCCAACAAACACAGACACTCTGCCCTTTTCCATCCAGAGATCCATATAAGGCTGGCTGGCTTCTTATTCTTTAACCAAGCACAAGTCACAAAAGACCAAATGCAGATCACAACTCACAACTGTCTTCAATTGAGTCTAGTATTTAGGCAATTTACAAAAATGTTAGACAATACCATTCTCACTGAATTTTTCTGTTTTGGAAAATAATTTTCTTAAAAATATTACATAAATGCACAATGCATTATGCCTTAGTTTTTATTCTAAATGCCAGCAACACTAACAAGCAGAATCCATATAAACCAAAGTGCTTGGGCCTACGAGGTTGTCTGTGCCTCTTCCCATACAGCTCCTGCAGCTTGCCGAGGTCCACACACCAAGACAAAGACCAAACTTTCTGTTTATGACTTAAACATATTACTTATCTAGAAGAAATTAAAATTTCAGAAGTTTCTAGGATGATCAGTAGGGAAAATATGATACATACTATGTTTTGATGTAATCTTTTATTAAACTACTTACTGTTTAATTTAAATTCAAGTGCAATTGAAGCTGTTTATCAACTCCATAGGATTCATACTTTTTTAAAATGATCCTTCATTTGAACAGATGTTTCAATACTCAAATCCATGGTTCAAATAGCAACCTTTAAAAGCTCACTGGTTTCCAGCACCTGTCTTCATCCAAGCCCTTGTATGGCTGGTCTGACTCGTGGCAGTGAAAAGCACACAGAGGGCAGCTGTGATGAGCAGATGCATTCCCTCGTAGAGAAGTTTTGGAGAAAATACACTCCATATGAACAAGTGATAACGCAGGGATGTCACCAAAATGATGTATGCAGCAACAGGAGCAGAACAAATCAGCGCATAGCAGAAGCAAGCACGGCCCATTGCTGAATCACTGTAAGTGAAAGAGAATGCATTAGTGCATGCCACAAGAACAACGTGACTGCTGCTTCTGCTCTGAAAACTGATCTTCCTTGCTTGGGGACTAGAGAACATGACATTTTCTTTTTGCACACATCTTGTATCTGGACACTGTGCTGGGATTCCTACAGATGGCCTAGAGAAGAGAAAAACCAGATGAACATGAACATGTCAGCAAGTAATCAACTCTGTGAAGAAAAATACGAGCAGGAAGGCAGAGGAAAGGTGATGGCTACCCCTTGAGCTCTCAGAAATGCTCCTAAACCTTAACTGTCCATAGAACGACCTGGGGTTTGCTAAAAATGGGAGCCTCTCCACAAAAATTTGGACCAGAGTGGATGGGAACCAGGCACCAGCAGCTGTGGGCAGTGACTGGACCTCTTCAGTGTTACCACACTGTGAAATAGTTGAGAAAAATTCACCCTAGATTTTACACTGATTTAAAATTATATGCTTGTACTACTATCTCATACATGATACTGAATAAAATATCACAGAAGACACACAAATGAGCACAAACACATAGTCTGCATCACTGTCCCTGTGTTCTAGGGACCAGCCCCAAATGTGTACCCGGAAGGGCAGCAGCACAGAACAGCATCAGTGGAATGGGTACCACCCTGGAAACATGAGATGTTCCTTGCCCTGTTGTTTCTTTTTTTTTAGGAGAGTAACAATAGTTAGTACATTGTGTATTGTTATTGCCAAAGTAGTTTCTCATATTATAAGATATAGGCAAGAAATAATAAGCAAACAACATAGATACAAACCTCTGTTTTTTTTTAAGTCAACAGAAAATGGAAATATACATTTTGAAGTTTCTAATACTAGGAGAAGATATCATACAATGTCTTTTAAA